CAGTATGTGGGAACGCCAGTGCACCCGGAGAGAGGATCCTTGATAGGGTGCTGAAGTTAAAATGAGGCCATTAGTGTGACCGGCGTCTTTCCACACACAGGGAGACACTGGGGCTGCCCACACACAGAGGAAAGGGAGCGTGAGGACACGGTGAGAAGGTGGCCACCTGCAGGCCCAGCAGGGAGGCCTCCCCGGAAGCCAAAGCCGCCGGCACCCTGAGCTCCGGGACTGCCCGGGAATGAATTCCTGTGGCTTGGCCCATGCGGTCTGTGGGATTCTGTCGCAGCAGCCTTAGCAACCTGGTGCCGTGGCCTCCAGATCTGACAGCAGTGCCGTGGCTCAGTGAGCGTGTTCGTCACCGAGAAGGCATGAGACTTCTAGAAGTGCATTCGCTTTAACCAAGTCCCTTTCCACCCCAGCCGTGCGGATGTGTGGGTGTGTGCTCAGGAGAGCCTCGTGGGGCTGGGAGGTGGGGAGTGTTTGCACAGAGACCCACTGGCCGGGGAGGAAAGATGGCGGTGGTTTTATGGCCTCTGAACTGCCCAGGAGCTGGGCTCTGGCCGCTGTGTTCACTGAGCAGCTCTGGGCATGCTGGTCTGGGGTGATCCAGCCTACTCCCATCGGCTCGCCATGCAGCAAACCCTTCTGGCTTGTTGCTCCCAGTTCCTCTGCTGATGGTGTGCAGCCCTCCCCCAGCCCACACGTCTCGGTAGGCAGGGGAAGCACAGGGCTCTCTCCACCCGGGGTAGGACCCATGCCCTGTGGCGTTATCCCTGGGGAGCTCTGCCCAGCAGGCTAGCTGTGGCCCATCTCGTGTCCCCCGGCCTACAAGTGACAAACCCAGATGCACAGTTGGCTCAAATCAGTGCTTAGACTCGATGCTTTCCACAGACATGCCAAAACAGATGAAGGATGTTGGGAAACAATTCATAAAATTGGCAAGTCCGTTGGCAACGCGTGCTGGATTGGCCCCGGGTGGTTTGCTGAGGTGGATTCCATGGCGAGATTGACAGATCTTGGTGACGGGGCCCCTGCCACCATCACAGAGACCAGAAACACAGAGGGCCACAGGCTCCCAACGGGGCTCTCAGTGGACTGGGTCTCCCCCCTCTCCTCCCAGAATTCTCTTGTTAACTCCCCCTCCTGCACAACACAACTATTTCAAACCCCGCCTCTCCGACCCTCCAACTCTGCAGGGAAAACAGAAGGCATCAACTAGGGACTTTCCTTCCCAGTACAGGAATGTCAGCACCTGGACTTCTGCCACTAGCCTGGCACAGTGAAAGAGCTGTCTCCCTTTGGATCCCGAGCCAGTGCCCTGGGTAGTGGAGCTGTCCCCTCGAGCCGTCTCCGGCCTCATAGAACACTGGGTGTCCCCCTGGCTGCATGTGTTCCGTGCTTCTGCTTCTGAAACACATCTCGCTCATTCCAGCGGGAAAGAAGCAAAGGAACTGCTGCCCTATTTGATGTCTCAGTCCCCTGCCGCCATTCTGTCGCCTCCTGCTTCCCAGCCAAGCCTCCTGGAGAGCCGCCACCCCTTCAGCCCCTTGTCTGAGTGCAGAGACCAGCAGATCCGCCGCTGCCCAGCAGAGGGCGCCTGCACCACTCTGCGCTTCCTGCTAAAAACACCCTTGGCTTCTGTGACTCCGGGTTCTCCTGGTTTTCTTCCCAGCCTCGCCTGCTCCCACCTGGCTGATCCTGCTCCAGGCAGTGGTCGGGGCTCACGCATTTCATTCCCTGGATCCCGCGTGGCCACGTGTCCTCCGTGGAGTGACCGTGGTAGCCAGTTCTAAGTGGGACGACTCGTATTTTGCAGATGGCGGTTTCTCCTGGTTTCTGCGCTACACCGTGCATTTCTGGGTGATGCGCAGGCACCCCCAGAACATCAGTGTGACTAGAAGCCCTCCGTCCTGGTCAGCCTCGGTGCTTCCCGTCCCTGGGAACAGCACCAGCATCGGCCCTGAAGTCCCCAGCAGAAATCTGCACCCTTCCGGTCGGTCACGGTCTCCTCCCTTAGGCTTCTAGCCGGCCCCGCAGTCAGTGCCGCTGGTTTCACCTCTCACGTCTTACTTGAACCCACCTACATGCCCGTTTGGGGGCTGCTGTGACAGAATTCCAGAGACTGGATGATTTGCAGTGACTGGGAGTCTCTGCTGCTCCGCGCCTCGGCTCAGGAGGGTTTGGGACTCTTGTCTGCCTGCCCTACCAGACGGAAAGCTCCATGAAGCAAGAACTCTGATTGTTTTCCCGTGGTTTATTCCCAAAGGCTAGCTTGGGTCGCCGTAAGCCTTTGTTCAATGAATGAAGGAGACAGAGTGGGGTTTGAGAGCCAGCTTTGGGAGCTGTCTCTGAATCCAGGTTTTCTCATCAGTGTCAAATGGAGATGCTTTTGGGTCTCTGTCTTTTAGGATTCTTGGGAGGAGCATATTCCATCTCACAAGTGGTTCTTTTTCTCTCCTTAAGGCCATGTTTGTGGGCGGGGCCATGGGGATGTTCGGTCACGCCCTTGGCCTCTTTAGGGGATGGGAGGATGAGACAGGCAAGATAGAAATGTAAAGTTTATTATACCCTCATATCAGAAGGATGATGGAAGAAAATGAAACTGATTGGAAAAATCTAAACCTAAATGTTTTCATTATGAGAATTCTGAGTGCTCATTGAAAGTCACGTGGATGGTGTAAGAAGGCGGAGGGAGGGAAGTGACCACCCAGTGTCCCGCCTCCCAAGCACGTCCCCCACATTCTTAAATATTCATCAGGATCAAAGTTGTTCATGCCTGTGTGGCGATGCGTCCTATGCAGATGCATCATTTTAATGATTTATTTCACTGAGGCTATTGTACACTTTTCTTCACTATTATAAGAATGTTAGAATTGGCCGGCGCCGCGGCTCACTAGGCTAATCCTCCACCTAGCGGCGCCGGCACACCGGGTTCTAGTCCCGGTTGGGGCGCCGGATTCTGTCCCGGTTGCCCCTCTTCCAGGCCAGCTCTCTGCTGTGGCCAGGGAGTGCAGTGGAGGATGGCCCAGGTGCTTGGGCCCTGCACCCCATGGGAGACCAGGAAAAGCACCTGGCTCCTGGCTCCTGCCATCAGATCAGCGCGGTGCGCCGGCCGCAGCGCGCCGGCCGCGGCGGCCATTGGAGGGTGAACCAACGGCAAAGGAAGACCTTTCTCTCTGTCTCTCTCTCTCACTGTCCACTCTGCCTGTCAAAAAAAAAAAAAAAAAAAAAAAAAAAAAAAAGAATGTTAGAATTGGTGATCCTTGTATGTAAATCTTTGTGGGCATAGATGTGCCATTAACAAGAGTAGAAGGGATGCATGAAAGGGTGTGGATGGGCTTATTTTAAGATTTATTTTATTTACTTGAAAGGCAGAGTTAGAGGGAGAGGGAGAAAGAGAGGTCCATCTTCCATCAGCTGGTTCACTCCCCAAGTGGCCGCAACGGCCAGAGCTGTGCTGACCAAAGCCCGGAACCAGGAGCTTCCTCAGGGTCTTCCATGTGAGTGCAGGGCCCCAAGCACTTGGGCCATCTTGTACTGCCTTCCCAGGCCATAGCAGAGAGCTGGATCAGAAATGGAGCAGCCGGGACTCGAACCAGCGCCCATGTGGGATGCCGGCACTGACGCAGCAGCTTTACCCGCTACGCCACAGCGCCGGCCCCTCGATCATGATTTCTTAATAAGTCTTCAGAAGAGCTGTACCAGTTCATTGCTCCAGCAGTCCAGCGAGACGGTGCCCTGGCCAACGCTGGGAATTATACCCACGTGCGTGGTATATCCAGGTGCAGGAGTCACGAGGGTGCTGGTATTTCCTGGCTTTAATTCGCGTGCCTAGTGCTGGCTTCCCTGAACTTCTACATTACATTTCCCCATGTGAGTTACCTGGGGTTGTTTGCATCATTTTCCTGTGGGGTTGTTCTCTTTGCCACCTTTACTTTGAAAACCCTCTTTATAGTTAGCACAATCACCTTGTTTTTGTCACATATGCAAATCTGAGCTTCCCAGGGACATTTTTCAAAAGACCAGAGGTTCAGGGGGACTTTTGTTAGCCTGTGCTTTGATTTTTTTTTTTTTTTTAAAGATCTGTTTATTACTTTAAAGGCTGAATGACAGTAGCCTGAGCTGGGCCATGCCGAAGCCAGGAGCCTGGAACAACATGATGTTCTCCCGCGTGGGCAGTGGGGGCCCATGAACTTGGGCCACCTTCCGCTGCTTTGCTAGGCACTTTAGCAGGGAGCTGATCGGAAGCTGAGTAGCCAGGCCTTAAACTGACGCTCATGCAGGTAGCCAGTGTAGCAGGAGGCGGCATAACCCACTGCACCACAGCACCAGCCCCTAGCTTAGCTTTATTATGCATGACAGTGGGATTCTCTCCTATGTGAAAATGTTGCCATTCAAACTGCACGTGAAAGAGTTCGACCTTGGAGGCGGGCAGACCTGAGCTTGGTCCCAGCTCTGCCGCTCTCTTGCCAAGGGGTCTGGGAGAAAGCATTGAGCCTCTGCACATCTCAGATTTCCCTCCTGCGTAGCAGGAATCGCTCTGACCTTGCTCTGGGAGGTGAGCGGCTCTCTAGGTAGTGAGCGAGGCAGAGGCCACACACTGTTCATGGCCATTTCTTTCCCTCCCCCTCCAGCAAGAGCTCCTTGCATGGTCTCGGATTTATATTTCCCTTCACACGTATTTCACTCAGCGCCTAGCCAGCCGTGTGGCCGTTCTTCATGCTTTCTAAATAGTCATGCTAAACGCACCAGTGGGAGGAGGAAAATGCTTAGCTGTTTATCTAAGCCTAGGAAAGATTGGTACATTTTCAGCCCAGGCTATTAACATGTTAGGATTGGTTCTGTAAAAGTGGTACAGACAACGTGTGACACAGCCTCTGGAGGAAAAAGGGAACAGGCGGCCACACACACTCAAACGTCCTTTGATCTTAAGCGCTGCAAATCGAGTCTCAAAATGCTTGCACTCTTTCATTAAGAATGTGTCTCTCTTTGCCTTTTAGGTGTGGCTGGATCTCCTAAAACCTATTGTGAAACAGATTAGAAGTAAGTATGCACCCTGTGTTACACTGACAAGTGCACAGCCGAACAGCTCCTTTGGATTCTTGCCCTGTGCCATGTAACACAATAACACAGTAACACAATTTCTTTTTTTAACCCCCTAATTGGTTTTCATCATCCACTAACCCATGCACTATTAAAATGCATATCTTCCGCAGTTTTAACCTGTAACAATTTGCTAATCAAAAGCTTGCACGGAAGATCAAGGATTGTTTTGATGAGACACTGAAGCCTGCTATTAAACCCCAGAGTAACAGAGCTTGTCTTTGCTCCAAGGGGAGCCATGTGTGCTCGTGAAATTGATTTTAGGTTTTCTGTCCACCTTCGCCAAAGACTGTGAAATCGGATTGCAAGGGTTGTTTGGAAAAATAAGGTTCCCCAAAGTGTGTGTGCCTGTGTGTGTATGTGTGTGTGCCTGTGTGTGTGGGTGCCTGTGTGTGTGTGGGTGGGTGGTGAGGGGTAGAGAGATGGGACGGAGGTGAGGGAGAAGCAGTCAGAGGCATGAAGGGAGTCTGGGGTACACGCACACTGCATGTTGCAAAGAAAATGTTAGAGAGAATCTGGGAGATTCGTAAGGAAAGCAGGCACTTGCTTTCTCTTCACACCTCTCTGATGGTCCATCCTCCCTTCTCTCTGCTCTGGGGTCAAGTCCAAGGTGACCCTTTATTCACAAGGTCATGCCACTAGACGCTGGGCAAACAGGACTGACATCCCTTTGGTTGAAGATAAGGCTCACAATAGCTGAGGGATTCTCTTTATGTTTGATTAGAAACCCCATTAGGCCACTTCCAGCAAATTATGTGTCTGTGATGACCTTGATGTTGATCGTGTCATTTAAATGAAGCTGAGAAGGAAAAGGCGTGGTTGTGTCCCTGTTCACCCAGGGCTGGCCCTGGGAGTGGGGAAGGGGAGAGCAGCCCCAGCCCTTAGGTGGCTTAGCACGAAGCCTGGACACTGACCTGGGTCCCCGCCCAGAGAGCAGCTCCTGGCAGGGAGCCGATCTGCTGCGCCAGCAGGTTCTCCAGGGATCTGCAGAGCCTCTCAGCTCCCTCTCTGGAAGAGAAGACAGAAAGTGCGCAGGCTTCCTCCCCGGCGTATCCTGCCCTTGTCATCCGGAGCTGCAGAACTGACGTGCACGGGTTCCCGCTCCTCTTTACAGCTAGTGGGGAAGAGAAGTGCCGCCCCTCCTGCCTGCAGCGTCTCCTCGCTTTGTGTTTTCTCCCAGTTCTGCCCGCGTCGTCACCATCTGCCCTTTTAGGATTTAGTGTGTTTGGCTTTTCTCTACGCTTGAATGTTTTCACAGAAATTATAATCCAAAATTGATTGTGTGTGTGTGTGTGTGTGTGTGTGTGTATTCAGGTGTGTTATGGTGAAAGGTAGAGCAAAAAAGATATTTGCTGCTTTTAGTATTGTGCTGTTACGATTCGGGTCTCTTTAGAGAACCTTGTAATCCCTGGGTCGTAGGCTCTGTGCTGTCGTTCCAAAAGGTGAACCTGTAGACCACTCCCCGTTACAGCGTGAACAGCAAAACACAAACCTCTGACCCTGGGCCCAGGTTATGACGATCTGTTTGATGTTGTAATTTGGAAAAGAGAAGTCCCCGGGAGGGAAGGTGGTTTATGTGACGCAGCAGCAGCAGGGCCATGCCTTGTTTGTTTTCTCTCCAGAGCTGGGGGACTGCCTGGTGCAAGAAACGTGTTTGCTGGGCACCCTGGCAAGTGCACCTTGTAAATAGAGCAGTGGGGAACTGAGTTCCCCTTTTCTCTAATTGGCCAAAGCCTGTATTTGAGCAGAAGCAGCCAATCAGCTACATTTCCGGACAAACTTCTTTAAAAAAAAAAAAAAAAAAAAAAACCTTGGTATAATTTAAGTCTCTAGAAAATGTTTAATGGTCCAATGTGATACTTTTGTCATGATATTTTTTAAAAAAACAGATACTGGTTTCCCCACAACCGGATCGTATGCATTGGCAGTCAAGCTGCTGTGACACGAGGGGTGTGTTAATTTTCACTCCAGGCTCTCGTCATGCACAAACACGTGTGTTCTAAGTGCTGACATGTAAGGGACATAGGGTGATGCGTGCATGCGCGCGCGCGCACACTCACACAGAAATACCCATCACAAGAGGGCGGTGGGACTGAAGGTTGCCTGAAATTACAAGGGGTGGGGGAGGGGGAGAAAGCCAGCACCCAGTAGCTCCCCCCACCAGTGGGGGAGAGAGCCCCCCTCTGGTGGGAGAGAGAGCCCCTCCCAGTCGTTGGTCTCTTTTGTGAGGTTGGGAGTGGTGGGAACTAGATGGCGCTTCCACACACAGCCCATCGTCCGTATTTCATGGCATCCTTCCTTAGGTCCTGGAGGAAGCAGAGGATTGTGGGAAAGGGGTCACTGATAGAATCACATGGGGGCGTGTGACTCCCAGCTCCGCAGACCTAGCTAGCTGCCTGCCTATCCCCTGTCAGAACTCAGCCAGTGCTGAGTGCCTTAGAGGTTGCTGGTGTGTTCCTGGGAGCCTGGGATGAGATGCATGATTCGGTGGGTAACATTCCCATAAAGTCTCTGTCAAGCACATCAATAAATGCTGTATCGCTTTTTCCCCTTCCTCTGTAGGGCCAAAGCACGTTGTGGTGAAGTTTGTGGTGAAATTCTTTCCACCTGACCACACGCAGCTCCAAGAGGAACTCACAAGGTTTGTGGTTTGGAAGCTGGTCTGGCGGCTGTGGGCAGCAGGGCTGGGGACAAACGTTCTGTTTTTGCTTTTACTACAGGGTGCATGGGAAAGGAGCATAGGACTGTTCTAGGTGGATTAGAGAAGCATTTTCCTCACATTGACTTGCCCAGAACGACTGAACCCTCCTCTCTCCCAGCTCTGCCTACAAAAATTAGAGGAAAGAAAAGTACCCCACTTTCTGAAAATCTAGGGTCTTTATGGCTGTGGAGTGTAGTGAACTGGGCTTATGACCTGTCAATATCATATTTTCCATCTTTTATTCATCACATCACGAGACAGTTTAGGGACATGAATCTCTCGTGTGAAACCAAGATGTGCATCTTTGTTGTTGCCACGGACGGGTGACTTTGAACTGACTTTGGTCTGTTTCTCTAAGTGTGGCCAAGTGGGAAAAACAAGAGCCTTGGCTGTGAGTTCTGCCTCTCGCTAGCACCACTGGCCGGTGCCTTGATCCCTCCCCGCTGTTGTAAATGCCCTCGTCATGGCCCACAGTCTGACGCCTGCCTGGCCAGAGTTACATTGAGGATAGTACTGTGTATCAGATCCAGCAGGGGTACAGTAAATGATGACTGTCCTCACCACCATCATGATTGTCACCGTCGTCACCATCACCATCGTCACTCTGCTTGTGGGATTCTTCCATGTTGTGTGCGTTGACGTAGTCACTCGTGTTGTATGTGATTTCATTGCTTATGGTGCTGATATACCACAGTGTATTGGTCTGTTTCTCAATGTTTGGATGTTTTCAATTCGGGAGTATTAGGAATAACGTTCTGATATAAAGCTTTTAATGAACATATTTATAGATTCCTGTAGAGTGTACACGTAGGGTTAGAATTGCCGTGTCATAGGAGACAACCTCAGGAGATGCCACCAGTTTTCCTGTGACAAATCCACACGGACTCCCACCAGCCGAGTGCAGGCACTCCAGCTGTTCAAGGTCTTCCCCAGCACTTGGCGCTGTTGTCCACATGTGAGTTATTTTTAGCCATCGTCACCATGATTGCCGTCTTTGCCGTCCCGGCCAGTACAGAGCACAGGGTGGGGCTGGTTGACAGTCACCTGTCAGAAGGAAGAAATGCACATTTTACCAACAGTCTCTATGCACTATGTGCAGGCCCTGGGATGTTGGTGGTGAAAAGACCAATTTCTATGTGAATGAAAGAGACAGAATGATCAGACAGCAGGAAGAGAGCTGAAAGCCCTTTGGGTGCTTTGAAGGAGGAAGATGTGCTAGAAAGTAACCGGGTGAGGACTTGAGGGCAGTGTGTCTGAGATCCCTCTTGAAGAACTGACAAGCAGCTCTCATTTCTCTGAAGAGGCGCCCCCTAGAGGGAAGGAGCCGCCATTGCAATGCCCAGGGAGGGAATAAGTGCCATTCATTCAAGTGTGGGTAGCTGGAATAGTGGGGATGGTGTGCAGTGAGGTAGGAGAGAGGCCTGTTGGGACGCGGAGCTGAGAGACGCTGCCACGCGGATGCCGGGGTGGGGAGTGGAATCCACAGAGTCCAGCGAGGAAGGCACTGGGGTAACTGGGCCAAGACAGCGGTACCAAAAAGGTGGCAGCAGTGGAAACAGAAGTGGCTATGTCCGGAACGTGTCCTGTGGGTAGGGTCTGTCTGTCCTGGTGATGGCTTGGGGAAAGCATTGGCACGCTTGGAGTTTGGACTTGGGCAAATGGGTGGGTGATTTTGGCCATCGCTGAAATGGGAAAGAAGTAGAGGAAAGGAGAGAATCAGGAAGGGTGGGGAGTCGATTTCTGGGGGTTGCAGTTGAGGTGTGGTACAGACACTGTAGGCTGTGTCGAGAAGGCCTTCAGATGCCCGATGTGGAATTCCAGGGAGAGCGGAAGGCAAATGCACTTTGGTGAAAATGGGGGTGGGGAGAGATCTTCCATCCAGTGGTCCACTCCTTAAATGCCTACAACATTGAGCGGTAGGGCCAGGCTGAAACCAGGAGCCAGGAACTCCATCTGGGTCTCCCATGTGGTTGCCAAGGACCCAAGTAGTTGAGCCATCCCCTGCCACCTTCCAGGGTGCACGGTGGCAGGAGTCTGGATTGGAAGCTGAGGAGCCAGGACTCTACCCAGCTTCACGCACTGGGCCACAGCCACATGCCCACACCTGCTTTGACTGTTTTTGAATGATTTGCCATCAGTGGTTGACCTTCAGTCCTGAAATCAGTGAAGACGTAGAGGGCAGCCTCGAAGTGGCGGAAGGCAACAGCCTTCCAGAAACTTCTGTGCCATTTAATAGGCCTTGGTGTAGAGAGGAGGTGGCCAGAGCTAAGCCAGGTGCTGAGAGAGCCTCTGTTTGGGCTGCTGTTGCCCAGTCGCCAGGCTGGTCCTCCGCTTGGGGGGATGTGCAGTCCTCTGAGCTCTGCGTACCCCATAAGCCCAAGGACCTGGCCAGCGGCTGCTCAGCAGGGGGCCTTCCCCTCTTCCTACTTAAGAACTGGAGACATAAATCCTGTTTGCATTTTCCTTTGGAAACCCTACTTGGGACATCATTTTTGCACTTTGAGCTTTTGTGACTCATTGTCTCTAGAAGCTTGCTTCCCAGATTTCTCCCATTCTGGTCTTTTTTCGAAAGCTCCGTGCAGCTTGTTACCAGTGAGGCAAAAATGCTTCAGACTTGGCCAACGTCTCCATCAGTGCCAATAAACTCCTAAAACTCCACAAGCTCTGCTGGATGTAGCAGGCTTTGTTTGGTTCTTGTTTTCTGGCTCCTAGCGTGAATTGATAATTTAGAGATCTTTGCCAAGAAGAGGAATCTTTTTGGCTCTGCGCGGAATCAGATGGAGCTGACTTTCGACTGTATTTCTCAACTCGTTACCATCCACTTCCGCCCAGGGTGTGCGATGTAGGGAACCTCATGGATCCAGTGCGCCGAGAGCCCTGCACTCTGCATTCCCAGTGTGCAGACACCTAAGGGTGAGGCGGCTGCGGTGGCGGGTGCTCTTCTGTGCGGATGATGCGTGAGGGGGTGTTGGGAGAGGCGTGCATTGCGCTCTGTGGGAGGAACTTTGCAACAAGAGTCACACAGACTGAAACTGGCCTGGGGTTTGGCAGGGTAGAAGTTCCGTTAGCTGTGTGGTTCATTTCCCTTCTATGTATTAAACTGCACATGGAGCGAGACTCTGTCATGGTGACCCCAGCACCACAGTGTCCAGGAGGAGGAAAGCCCTTGAATCGCGGGTACATGCAGGTTGGAAACGGCTAGCAGGCAGCATGTGGGAAGGAAGGGGCCTGCCTCATGTTGCAGAGCCCACGACACTTCTCTGATGGCCCTGGGCTTAGTCATACTTCTCTGTGGGCATCCTGTCGTCACTGGGGTCAATTCCTGCCTGGCTCTGTTCTCTCCTGAGAGGAGGGGCTCCTATCAGAATTGCCTGGTCTACACCACCTGCCTACTAGAGGGGTCCCTCAGATAGGAAGAGAAATGGTCAGTTATTTACACTTCAGAAAAGGGTGGGCGTTCGGCCTAGCAGGTGAGATGCCAGTAGGACGCCCTCTTCCCACATTGCAGCACCGGGGTTTGGCTCCCAGCAGTGGTTGCTGGCTCCAGCTTCCTGCTAACACACACCTTAGGAGGCAGCGGTGGCAGCTCATGGTTGGGTTCCTGGCACTCAGGTGGGTGATGCAGATTGAGCTCCTGACCCAGGCATTTGTCAGTGATTTGGTGAATCTCTCTTCATCTCTATTTCCCTCCTCCTCCTCAAATTAAAAAAAAAAAAAAAAAAAAGGTGACCTTCAAGTTGAATACATTACAGTAGATCTGTTGGAAATAAGGCCTTGGATGAGCGCCGCCCGTGATCCTGGCATTCCCTGAAAGGCAAGGCCCTTGGCTGGGGTGCTGCCACCGTCATTGCCACCAAGGAGAATGGACTCCATTCGGAGTCCTCGGTTTTCACTCTGTGTGCTGTTTTAATTTTATGTGGTGCCCGCTGAGTGAAAGTGTCTATGGATTTACTTGGAGTTGTTTCCGTTTATAGCACTACAAGGGTTGCTGTCTCCCAAGTCAGCATTGCAGCCAGCGTGCTCAACTTACAGATGGCGTCATTAAGAAAAGCCGATAGCATCCGTACCCAGGAAGGGATTTCTCACGTTACCAGGGCCCCAGAACAGGGAGAGTCCGCACAGTCTCCTTGCGGTTTGCAAAAAGGCTGTGCTCTCCCGATAAATGGGTGAGCTTTCAGAGCCTCAGGCCGTCTTGTGGTCCACATGAGGTCATCAACAGAGGGCCCTGGGGCCTGCTGGCTGCTGACCGTGACTTTGTCTCCAGATACTTCACTGTGAATGCAGAACCCTGTGTGTGAACTGGTAAATGGTGAAATATGCAGAACCCGATGTTCTCCAGTGGTTTTACTTTACTTTTTTATTTAAAAGGCAGAGATACAGACAGATAGAGAGGGGTCATCTTTGTGCAAATTCACAACTCAAACGCCCACAACTGCCAAGGCTGAGCTCGGCCAAAGCCAGGAGGCTGGATGGCAACCGAGGTCTCCCATGTGGATGGCAGTGACCCAACCCCTTGAGCCATCAGCTGCTGCCTCCCAGGAATCAGAAACAGAGATGGGACTCAAACCCAGACACTTGGACATGGGATGCAGGCATCTTAACCATTGTCCCAAAGGCTACCATCAACATGGACTGCCTTTAATGTATGGCCCTCCCATTTATTTGAAAAATTAGCCACATAGATTAGAGTGAAAACTTGTAGCTCTACGAAGTGTAGAGCTAATTCAGAAAGGTCTTTGATACTACTGCTTCCCATATGAGCCTGTATGTTGACGTTCAGACTATGTTCATTGCTTTTCTTCCTTTCAACTGTCCAGGGCAGGGAAGGAGAGACAGAGCAAGGGCAGGACAGGAATAAACATTAGGGGAGCTGGATAAAGGTCAGCTGTTGTCAACCGATGGATCTGCAGGATTTGGGTTTTTCATTGTTGGTGTTGCTGCTTTTGTCTTTTTGCTGGTTACACATTTGTCGCTGTGGTTTCTTAGTTCTTCATAATGGACCCTCCTAAACAACATTAAAGGGTTGCATTATTCTTTAATTGAAAATTGGTGCTGACATTTATTGAATATTTTTGTTCTGATCGTTCCAGTCTGTGGTAAGCACAGACATTTCTATAAAGATTAAATGGGGGGCGGGGGGAGGCGCGGCACTGTGGCTTAGCAGGTAAAGCCGCCACCTGCAGTGCCGGCATCCCATATAGGCAACAGTTCAAGAGCCAGCTGCTCCACTTCCTATCCAGCTCTCTGCTGTGGCCTGGGAAAGCGGAAGAAGATGGCCCAAGCCCCTGGGCCCGTGCACCTGTATGGGAGACTGAGAAGAAGCTCCTGGCTCCTGGCTTCAGATCAATACAGCTCTGGCCATTGCAGCCAACTGGGGAGTGAACCAGCAGATGGAAGACCTGTGTGTGTGTGTGTGTGTGTGTGTGTGTGTAACTCTGACTTTCAAATAAATAAATCTTAAAAAGATTAAATGGGATAATAACATAGAAAAAAGCATGACCAGAACAGGAACACTTGTTAAAGGCCTTTTTGAAAAATAACCCTTTATCCTTATAAAGGCCGAATCTTTCTACACCATGGAGTGGGAATAGCCGCATGAATAACAGTACAAAAGCAGAAGTGCTGTGTCCCTGTTGCCCATGAACTTGCTGTGATGCTGCCCCTTCTGGCTTCTCCGCCTGTGCACATGCGCACTCGCATCCCATCCGACTCACTGGCTACACTCTAACCTCCGTTTGCTGTTACTGATCCCTGCCTGTTGGCAAGTCAGGTGCCTTCTGGGCCTAGAGTTCACGTCTGGTATTTATGTTCCCGTGGCCTCTTGTTATCCAGCCTGGTCCCTCGTTGTCGTCCTTGTTGAAGATCCATCTTACGAAGTATTCTACCCGCTGAGGTGGTCTGGTCACCTCTGTGAGGTTCTGTTCTGCCAGGGTCCCCGTCCTTTGTATGTCCTAAGCCCTGGAAACTCATCCTAAAGGCTTGGCGTGGGTACAGTGGAGCAGGGTGCTGGGGTCCCCCAGGGATCCTGTGTGCTTCCCCCGGCGTGGATCTTGGTAAGACTGTTCGTTGGCTTATGGGGGCGACACTCCGGTCTTTCCATGAGGAGTAAAGTTGTGTAACTTTGGCCCAGTGCCAATGCCCAACTTCCCAAATGGCTTTTACACCAATTGGCACTCCTCGCCAGAATCGGTGATTCTGTAGCGGCTGTGGAGCAAGGATTTTCTGATTCACGCCTCCTCTGTTTGACATTGACCTCTCGTGCAAAGTGACACCTGGCCTCCCCCGCTTGGGCTGTCTGTCTGTCTGTCCTGGTGTCCTTCCCGCGCCAGCCGCAGGGTGCGTGCTCTGTTCTTCGATTGCCAGTTGTTGGGCACAGAGTCCCTTTAATAGCTCGTCTCCAACGGCGACACATTCCACTCTGCCGCGTTCCCTTTGGTTAAGGATCCTTGTGAGCTCATGAATTTTCATTCACTCAATGCGCTTTGCTTCACTTGATCATTCTTAGCGACCTTGGAGTTGTGGCCCCTTCACGACGCGTCTTGTGATGCAAGCCGCCTCCTCCTGGCATAACTAGAGGCCCAGGCTGCCCTCATCCCCTGTTCCCTGGAAGCTGCACTCCCCAAGGACCTGCTTGTGGGTCCCCCAATAGGGTAACTGTGCTGAGGGTTGCTCTGGGGAGACACTGCTTCTAGCAGGTGGGCAAACATAGTCAGTGCCCCGCTGTGTGTTCATGTTAGGATTGTCTAGTACATTCTAACATCATATAGTCCTTATTCAATTTCTTTGATATCATAATTATCTCTTTTAAACAGAATTGTTGACTTAACAGTGTAAAGAAGAGATTTTTTAAAAAAGATTTATTTATTTGAAAGGCAGAGTTAGAGGAAGAGACAGAGAGCAAACAGGAGAGATCTTCCACCTACTGGTTTACTCCCAAAATGGCTGCAGTGGCTGGGCGAGGCCATGTCAAAGCCAGGAACCTAGAACTCCATCTGGACTTCCCACAGGAGTAGCAAGGGCCCAAGGACTTGGGCCATCTTCTACTGCTTTCCCAAGACATAGCAGAGAGCTGGTTAGGAAATGGAGCAGCCAGAACTTGAACTGGCACTCATATTGGGATGCTGACATCCCAAGAGACAGCTCCACCCACTGCACCACAATGCCAGACCCAAGAAAAGAATTTTAAAATAGCTTCAGTTGAGTTTTACATTCCTGGTAACTAAGGCTTATGGAAGTGGCTAAGGGAACGTCACGACACCAACAAGATGGGCTCATCTTTCCAATTCTATTGGCAAGGTTCTCACTAACCATGATCAACTGCTATTATTGTGTGTGCCATAAAATCATTTTCAGGGATGTTAGGCAGATCCTGTGAAGAAATTCACAATGTTTTCTAGATCCTGCAAAAATATATAGGGTGATTATAATTGTACAGTTGTATGGCTCTTTCCATATAAAATGAGATGCCACACTCATTAAGTGCAGAGATGGCAGCTTGTGTCAATGGGGTCTTTGCTTTTTTTTTGGAGGAAGATATTGTCCCTGAGCAAGGCAGCAGGAGTGCCTCCCAGACTCTGCAGACTTGCCTGTTATTTGGCTTCATGTAGCTTTGTTGAGTGCCTCACAGCATGGAAAGGTTGCCAAGAGGGGCCCTGATGCCGCCGCCTTGTTCTCTTTGTGTGACGCCACCTCTCTTGATCTTCGCAGGTACCTGTTTGCTCTGCAGGTGAAGCAGGACTTGGCTCAAGGCAGGTTGACGTGTAACGACACCAGCGCCGCTCTCCTGATCTCACACATCGTCCAGTGTAAGTCCTGGGGACTTCCTCTGCACAACACGTTGAGAGTATCATAATGGTCTCATTGATGGAGGGGTCACATTTTCCAGGAAAGCAGTAACAATGTCTGGGCTGTTTTTGCTGGTAGCATGAACCCCATGTGTGGACGAGAAAAGGTTATTCCTGACTTAGTCTCATATGCGTGTCTCCAAGCATTAACCTGTGAATTCCTCGAGTTGGTGTGTTTTGTCTGCTTTTTTTTTTCTAAGTACTCGTACGTAATTGATCTTTTAGTTTTCTCAAAGGAGAAGCTTGGATGGACAGTGGGCAAGTAGATGAAACCTTTTCGTCTTGTTCGTGGATTAGATATTCATCACTGAAGGTGGCACATTAGCCTAAGACAGAACACTACCACAGAGTTCACTTTTCTAGAGTGCTTTGCCTCAAAAGTTGAGTGAAGCAAGTCACGTGAAGCTAAACTGAACCCTAGGATGTTTAAAAACTCGGTATTTTGACTTGTCTTAATCTAGAAAAAGAATAAACTAGATTGTGTTCATTGCAGGGCTTACCGATGACCCACTTGGGCACGTTTTTCCTCTTGATAAAGGCAGAAATTACTGGAAATGAAAACTATACATTGTTTCAGAAAGTAGGCCTGTAGACCAAGGTCCACATGTATAAAGAAGCACTGTTACTAAAAAAATTGTGCTATCACATCAGCTCTTTAATTTCCATTATACACAGAGCAGCTCCATGTAACCAGCCCCATCTATTCTGGTAACTGTCCAGTAAACAAGATTTCTGAAAGTTTGTAGGGAGTGTCACTCCTAGCGGTCCACACGTGGCCTTAGTCTGAAGCAATGAGGTAACTATCAACAGTGCTCATCATCTTAGTTTTTATATGAGCATATTGAATGTCTACTAGGCTTGCCAAATAGCTGCTTTCTTATCAGTTAGCAAGCATAACATGAGAAAAATAAAGAAAACGGGTATTCCTTTATTATGCCAGAGCTATGTGTTACCTCATTTAATTCTTAAAACACCCCCCCTCCCCCATCCCCACGCCAAAGTCAGGGTCTACCAGTATCCTCATTTTACAAATGGACGGAACTTCGGCACAGAAGTTACATTGCTTTTGCCTTTCTTGTGTGTGTTCTTTGAAGTGGTGAGGTGGGGGACCATGCAGGCCAGGGGAGGCACTGGGGCAGGCAGACCTCATTGCTGTGAGTTCACTGATGACCCTAGCAGTTGGCCAACCCTCCCTCCTTCGTATCTTTTGGAATCCATAACGGACTCTTTTTCATAAGGCTTTGGAAATTGAATGATAGCATTCAATAATAAATACCCATTTAGCTTATGAGATGTTGAATAAACATTTCTTTCTTTAATCTCACTGCAGCCATCCCTTTCTGGTCAATGTAGAAAGTTGTTTGTTTTTTAAGATTTATGTATTTATTTGAAAGGCAGAGTGACAGAGGGAGAGACAGAGATTGTCCATGCACTGATTCACTTCCCCAGTAGCTTCAGTGCTGCGCCTCGGCCAGGCAGAAGCAGGAGTCGCTAGCTCCTTCTGGGTCTCCACAGGGGTGTCAGGGACCCAGGTACCTACGCGGTCATCTGCCGCCTTGCCTGGTGCATCAGCGGAGCTGGATCAGAACCGTAGCAAGGGCCGGCGCTGTGGCATAGTACGTTAAGTCTCCGCCTGCAGTGCCAGCATCCCATCTGGGCGCCCGTTTGCACTTCTGATCCAGCTCCCTCCTATGGCCTGGGAAAGCAGTGGAACATGGCCCAAGTCCTTGGGTCCCTGTATTCACGTGGGAGACCTGGAATAAGCTCCTGGCCATTTGAGGAATGAATCAGAAGATGGAAGACCTCTCCTGCCCCTTCCCCTCCCCTCCCCTCTCCCTCCCCTCTCCCTCCCCTCTCCCTCCCCTCTCCTTTCCCTCTCCTTCCCCTCTCCTTCCCCTCTCCTTCCCCTCTCCTTCTCCCCTCCCTCCCCTCTCCTTCTCCCCTCCCTCCCCCTCACTCTCCTTTTCCCCCTCCTCCTCCTCCTCTCTGCCTCTCTGTAACTCTGCCTTTCAAATAAATCTTTAAAAAAGAAGTGAAGTGCCCTTAAGGCATGCGGATCCGGCTGAAAAGCCCATGAGACTATTTCAGGCATGGAAAGCCAAGACACTCTGCGGGGGGAAAAAAAAACCTACATGAAAGATCTCCGCGAGTGAGATCCCAGTGGAAAGAACGGGTCATCAAAGAAGGAGGTACCTTTCTCTGAAGGGAGGAGAGAACTTCCACTTTGACCATGGCCTTGTCTATATATGATCAGAGTCGGTGAACTCAGGGGGCTTCCATAGCCTTGGCAGCTCATGACAAGAGCCTAGGGTGATTACTGATGCCATAAACAAGAGTGTCAATTTGTTAAGTCAACAACAGGCGTCACTGTGCACTTACTCCTCATGTAGGATCTTTGTCCTTAGTGTGCTGTACATTGAGATTTAATGCTATAACTAGTACTCAAACAGTATTTTTCACTTTATGTTTCTGTGTGGGTGCAAACTGTTGAAATATTTATTTAATGTATGCTAAACTGATCTTCTGTATATAAAGAGAGAATCGAAAATGAATCTTGATGTGAATGGAAGGGGAGATGGAGTGGGAAAGGGGAGGGTTGCAGGTGGGAGGGACTTTATGAGAGGGGAAGCCAATGTAATCCATAAGCTGTACTTTGGAAATTTATATTCATTACATAAAAGTTAAAAAAAAAAGAAAAAGAAAAAGAAGTGAGGCAGCTAGGACTAGAACTGGCACTCCCACATAGGAGACTGGCATTGCAGGCAGCGGCTCAACCTGCTGCACCACAACACCAGCCCCACAATGTAGGATTGTTAAAGGAAGCGTCCTGAATGGAGTAGTAGCTTCACAAACCTTCTGTGACCCTGGGCGCTGTGTCAGCAGAGGACAGTCTCACCAGCGGCTCCCGATGCCAGATAGTATCGCACTGTTTTCCTCGAGTTGGAGACAGAGAGAGCTTCCATCCACTAGTTCATTCCCCAAAAGGCCACAAAGGCCAGAGCTGGGCCAATCCGAAGCCGGGAACCAGGAACTTCTTCCTGGTCTCCCACATGGGTGCAGGGGTCCAAGCACTTGGGCCATCTTGGGCTGCTTCCCCAGGATCATTAGCAGGGAGCTGGATCAGAAGTGGAGCAGGCAGGACTTGAACCAGCACCCATATGGGATGCGGGCATCACAGGCAGTTCCTTTACTCGCTATGCCACAGTGCCAGCCCCAAGTTTCTTTGTTTTTCAGGCTTGTTGTACCAAGAAAGTAGATTTTATGTGTTCTCACCACGAAAAAAAGATACATGAGGCAATGGATATGTTAATAGCTCAATTTACTCATCCCAGGATGTGTACATATTTCAAAACATGTTGTAGTATTTTAACAATAATATGGAAATTTATATTCATTAAATAAAAGTTAAAAAAAGAAAAAAACAATAAATATGTACAGTTTTTATTTTGCCAATTTAAAAGGAATATAATTTGAAAACCAATTCTGTTAACGATAGTGACTCCCACTCGCCTACCTGGGAAGTGACATCCAGGAAACCTTATCTCTGTCAGATGCCTCCCTCTCCCCAGACACCAGCAAGTGGCTCAAAGTCCCCCCAGAGTCTTGAGTTCCAGCTTACCAGTTAGATGCTGCATCCCACGTCGAAGTACCTGAGTTTGACTCCTAGCTCCATCTCCTAACTCCAGCTGCCTGCTGATGAACACCCTAGAGACAGTGGTGATGGCTCAGGTTTTCAGGTTCCTGGGACCTGCGTGGGAGACCAGGATGGAGTTCCTGGCCCCCAGTTCGGCCCCCACCTCACCATCGCCAACCTCAGCCATTACAGGATTTGGGGAGTGAGCCAGCAAATGGAAGCATTCTCGCTCTCTGTAGCTCTCTCTGCCCCTTAGAAATAAATCAATATGTAAATAAAAAATAAACTCATGAGTTCTCCAAAAGATGGGTGTACAGCTCCTGCTGTTTTCATAGCATTTCACATATAATCAGGAGATATATAATATTTTAATAATCTTCTGCTGTTTGCAAAGCCCCGGTTCTACACAGGCACTCTTGGGGGCAGGGGGTGGGTCTGCTGGTTAGGCTGCTGCTTAGGACACCAGCATTCCATATTGGAGCACCTGGGTTTGAGTCCCGACTCCACTCCTGCTTCCGGCTTCCTGCTAGTGCACCCCTTGGTAAGCAGCAGGTGATGGCTCAAGTCCTTGGGTCACTTCCACCCATGTGGGAGACCTTCAGCCTGGTCTTCTGTGGCCATTGAAGCATTTGGGGAGTGAGTGAACCAGTAGGTGAGAGCTTTCTCTGCTTTTAAAATTAATTTTTTAATTACAAATAAAACCACCACTGGAGTCGCGTGGAGATGAGCAGGGCCATGTGTCTGCAGGTTGTGTCTGAGTGCCCTGTGAGGATTATTCTTCACAGTGCATGTTTGTCAGAGTCCAAGCCCTGGAGATGGTCCATTCTTTTATTGGCACGGCAGGATTTGGGGTTTTCTTGGTCATTCCTATTTTTGGCTGCCAGTCAACTGCCAAGGAGGGTAGTGGATACATGAGCTGATACGACATCTGACATAAAACATTAAAAGATATTAAGGCATATCTTGAAAATGTGTTGATTCTCAAACTCTCAAAACACAAGGAGGAGCCTACCTCTGGATTTCCAAGGAGAGTACAAGGGGAAAAATGGGTTTTATGGTCATCCGTTGCTATTGCCTTTGAGGACTGGGGAAAGTCACATGGCTCAGAAGAGACAGGAATGAGCTGTGTTGACCCTGATGCCAAAGGAAAAATGGCATGCTGAGCTCTTTAATGTGGAGTTATGGAAGGGAGTGTATTATAAGACCCTGGGGCATCAAGAAGCCCAAATGTAAAGCTCACAGGAAATTGAGGATTTAGTTGGTTTCTCCATTTGCAGTCATCCCTCATTCTCAGATTGTGTGTCCTGTGCTTCGAATGGGACGTGGCTGCCAAACTCATGCATGTCTTACGTTGACAGCACTGAGAGGGTGTTGATGGGACCGGCACGGTGTTTAGCGGTAAGCCTGCTAGGAGCCAGGCCGTCAGGCGTGTGCCCCAGGAAGGTGATCCTCAGGAGAGGGCTGGTTACAGAAGCCAGGTTGGACCCTGAGTCTCTTGTGCGTGCTGCTTCCTGTCTCGCCAGGGGATTGTTCCCCACCGCCTCCCCCGCAACAACACCCTCCGTCATTGCCATCCTGGGGCCTTACCAGACACTCAAACCAATTGGGATCCTGGATCTTGGGCTGTGAACCTCCAAAACAGCAGACTAAAATAAAGGTCATATGTAACTTCTCTCAGGTATTCTGCGATCATGATGAAAAGCTGTCAAGTATACTATATTTGCAGATTTGATAATATGGCTGTGCCCAAAATGCTATCTGTGCACATGCCCAGATGGCAAAACATTCAAGTCGCACTATGCACAGCCCCAGTTGATGTCAGTTAGCGTGCTCTGCCTTCTTATTTCCGCTCTCAAACTGCTAACAAGTGTCCTTTTCATGGTCTATTTACTGCCACACGTTTCAATCTTTTGTGCTTATTGTTGGTGATTTCACTGTTGAAACGCCCCCCGAGCACAGGGCAGAAGTACTGTGTACAGTCCCTCAGCGTAGTGCTGGGTGCCCTATGGCGTAAATACGTGTTTAATCAGCTTCTTCAAGCGTGAGTGCTGCTTGTTAGCCATGCGTTCAATGTGAATGAATGAGCAGTGTACACTAAATCAATGCCTTTCAACAGAAAAACTCATGAAACAGGTCAGTTGACCAAAATAGTTCAAGAATTTAACAGGAACCTAAACCTATATTTTCCCTGGGAACCATGGTTTAATCTCCCTAATTCATTGTTCCCAGTGACCTTGTACGTGATAACTTTCTCAAGTAAAGAGAAGCAACCCTACCTTCTTGAGACAAGATGAATGGAATTACAGAAAAGTGAGGACGCCGATGTCTAGACAACCAGTAGTGATGTCAGCGTGGCCAGGGACAGCCCCACGCTGCCGTGTTCTGTGATGGGATGGTGGCAGGGGGAGGTGAGCGTAGTCTAGAAAAGGCATTTAGAAAATAGTGTTACTGGTGTGTCATAGCAAGAGGAAGCTAGTGAGTGAGTCTCTCAGCTGCCCAGTGGTTGCCAGGTGCACCGGACGGTGTTACGCAAAACACCTGTCCCCCGGGGGGTGATTTAGGGGACTGTCGGCCCTATCGTGCTTGATTACTGAGGTGCTGCCCAAAGGCTGACCGACTGCTTACTGTGGCAGAGTGAAAGGCAGGTTTCATAGCAACCATTCGCTTGCCGTTCTTCAAAACAGCTGGCTGTGGCCATCAGGCTACTCTTAACTGCGCTTGTTAAACAGCATGGATGACCAGGAAAAGGTGTCCTGCTCCGATGTCTTCCAGTTGGCCTAAACTGGGCTTGAGCCAGGGCTGTTACGCTAAGGTACAATTACAATTTTAAATCTCTGCCCTTTGTGGGGCTGCATTGTGGCATAACATGTAAAGCCACCACCTGCAGTGCCAGCATCCCATATGGGTGCCAATTTGAGTCCCAGCTGCTCTACTTCTGATCCAGCTCCCTGCTAGTGGCCTGGGAAAAGCAGTAAAAGACGGCCTAAGTGTTCTGGCCCTTACCACCCACATGGGAGACCCAGAGGAAGCTCTTGGCTCCAGGCTTCAGCCTGACCCAGTCTGGCTGTTGAAGCCATCTGGCTAGTGAACAGTGTGTGGAAGATCTCCCCTCCCCCTCCCCCTTCAACTCTTCCAAAATAAATAAATCTTAAAAAAAAAAAAAAAAAAAAAAAAAAAAAAAAAAAACCTGCACTTTAAATTTTCACATTATAATCACCATTTGACTTTGCTGTGATCACGTGAAAAAAAACATTTATTGTAGATAAATTTATAAGACAGTGTGGCCCATTATTTCTGACAACAGGACTCCAAGGAGGTTAAGAAACTCTTGAATTATTTTCTAAAAGCACTAAACTATCTGCCTTTATACCTGTCTGCAGTCCTCTGTCTTCATGATAAAGCATTTGGGTTTGCACTAGCAATTGTTGTATGTGCGATTCAGAATTTGGTTGTAGAGTTCTGGAATCCCAGGGCCTGTTTATAGGCCAGGGGGTGAGGTCATCCGAGTCTACGGAGCTCACTGCTGAGAAAGGAATGATGGGGAAGAAATGGGAAGTGGGAATGTGGGTGGCTGAAGACAGACGGGTCTCAGGTTCCTTTCCAACGCTGAGAGATGGGAGGGGTGGGAAGGTCTTCCTACGCCGCCTTCAGGACAGCGAGAAGACATCCAGCCCCTAGGATGTTCTAGAACCTCCAGCTGGGCTCTGTTGTCCACTGGCTTCCGGCTTCCGGTTTACTAGCTGTGAAATAAACACAGTATGACACACTAATCCTCTGTGGCCTGTTTCTCTCTTTCTTTTTAGCCGAGATTGGGGATTTTGATGAAGCATTGGACAGAGAGCATTTAGCAAAAAATAAGTACATACCTCAGCAAGACGCGCTAGAAGATAAAATTGTGGAATTTCACCATAACCACATGTAAGTTTCACGCACGGCTTTGTATTTCCTTGGAGCTGCTTCTCTCTGCTTCCCAACACGCACAGGTACATGCACAAAGAGAAGAAAATACAGATGCTCACAGGGCACTGTGTCCCTCCCGGAGCCTCAGAAATGCAGGGCACCCACTCAGGAGTGGGGCTCGAGGCCCTGGCTTGCCTCCCTGTGAGACCAGAGGAGGCATCCCATGCTTGGGTATAGAAGACTGAGTGTGACACCAAGGGGCCGTCAGGTCACTGTCGCAACAGGAAATTGAGAGAGGCCCAGGAGACGTCAGGCACAGAGGCTGTTGCGAAACTCTAGAACCTTTGTGACATCTCCATCTTTGGTTTGTTATTTTTGACCAACAAAGCATTTTTAGAGGATTCTCTGTGCTTTTCAGTGTTGCCTTAAAGCAGGCATTGAGCCTGGTGACAACAGGAATGAGATTGCCTTGAACTTTGCTTTGCAACGCTCGACTATTGTAAGTGACTAAAAATCAGTTTTAACGCAGTGGTGTTTTGCTTCTGTGTGACCTTCAAGGACACTGAGTTTCCAAACAGCTGGCGCAGTGCAAGCTGGACTTTCACTGTGTTGTGTTACATGAGCGATAGAGCTTTTGTCCTAGCTGCTGGATTTGGGGTTACAATGCACAGGAGGTTGGGTGTCATTTGGTCGGATGGCCCCGCTGTCTGTGATGAAGTGCCTTTTTATCTCCCAAGAGAAACTGTTTAATCTCAAATTAATAGACACAGGGAATGCTCACCTCCTCGCCTTTCTCTGTCACTTTCGTTTTATCAGTGGACAAACCCCAGCAGAATCAGATTTCCAACTCCTGGAGATTGCCCGGCGGCTAGAGATGTATGGAATCCGCTTGCACCCAGCCAAGGACAGGGAAGGCACCAAGATCAACTTGGCCGTGGCCAACACGGGCATTCTGGTGTTTCAGGTGAGAGTGTTGGGAGCCCAGCTGGTGCCGTGCTGATGGGAGGGGTTGGCCCTTCACCTCCGGTTCACATCGGGTGGGCCCGGGTAGCACCTCTGCTGGTGACCATTGGCTGCACAAGGAAAAGCTGACCTCAGCTTGGGTTTTTTTGTTTTTGAGGCTTTCAGCTTCCAGATTCTGTCTCATCTACCTTTGCCCTACTTGGGGAATCCATGTTAGAAATTTTTGGTTCATTGGCTTTGCTAGGGTCACAGAAACCTGTATCGCTCAGTGGACCTATGCTTAGGAAACAGTGGAAGCAAGATTTCATATCCCAGAGAAACACCTTTTCACCCTTGTGGACGAAATTTTACAGCAATGCAGTTTTTTCTTTCTTCTTTTTTTTTTTTTTTTTTTAATTTGTAATCTGATTTTGGTTGAGCCAGCTTATTTGGGACTTCAGTTATCCCTAACTTAAAAAGGCAAGCGCACTGTGTGTACTTTCAATATCAAGCAGTTCTATAAACTCACGGGAGTGATGTCCTTGCCTTTAGTGATTCTTCAACGGAACAAACCACGCTTGGATCCTTGCTGTGCTTCGCTGAAGGACGCAGTTGTACTCCAGCGTGTGTGTTCTCTTGCTCACCCTGCTGTGGGACCATTCTCTTAATCAATGATTCTTTTTCTTTTCTTTTTAAAGATTTATTTATTTAATTGAAGAGCAGAGTGACAGAAAGACAGAGATATCCTCCGTCCTCTGTTTCATTGACCAAATGGCCACACTGGCCAAGGTTGGACCAGGCCAAAGCCAGGAACTCCCTCCAGGTCTCCCGTGTGGGCAGCAGGAGCCCAAGCACTTGGGCCATCTTCCACTGCTTTCCCAGGTGCATTAGCAGGGATGGGACCTGGAAAAATGGAGCAACCAGGGCCCAAGCTGCCGGCGTCACAATTGGTGGCTTAACCCGCTGCACCACCATGCTGGCCCCGGGCAAGTATTACTGACGCACAGTAAAGGATACGTACTTCAGGTGTGCGGGTTGGTAAGCCCTGACTGTGTAGGTCCTGTGAAGCTGTCAGCAGAATCAGAATAGTGAACCTCTAAGGGTTGTTCAAAAAGTTCTTAGGAAAATGGAGTTAAAAGGTAAATTCGTTTGGTGCAGAAAAAAATGTCTGGAAACCTCTGCATCAGTTTTTCAGAATATCCATTTTCCAAGCCCTCGTGGCAGACTCCTCGCCTGCGTGGGAAGTGTGGGTAACCTGCGCTGCACTTCTGGTGGGTGCCTCAGTCCCACCTTCAGCTCCCGTAAGCAAAGCATCTGGCTTTCTCGTGGATCAGGGGCCGGCGTCCCACTGTGGGGAGCTGGACCCTGCGCCTGACCCAAAGCCCTGTGTGAGCTCACCGGCTTTGCATAGACTCCCCATCTGTTTCCCCTGGAGTCCCGGCTTGTGCGAGCCCCGTGTTGGACACGTGGTCGCAGAGCCACACCCTGAAGGGAGCATGGTGGGTTTCACGTTGGGAAGTAGGGAATAAGTGATGCATGGAGCGTGTGACTGCCACCACCCCTTCCTGCCCTGATGACCAGTGAGTACCTGATGAGAAAAATGGCCAGAGAAGCAATGCCTGCAAAATTCAAAATCCCAACCCTTAAACATTTCGAAAAAGTCACACAGAGAGAAAAGGCGTGTCTCACAATGGAATTAACAGGCTCTGGTTGTGTTGGATGCGATCTAAACATCTTGGGTTGCCAGGTAACTTAATCCTGTGCGAAGCGCGTATCTTGGAATTGGTCATCTTCCCTGTGCCTAATTCCCTCATTCTTCCGATGTGGAATCACTGGGCCTGGGGTTGCAGGGGCTCAAGAGGGACCCTAATTTCAGTTGATTCACAACAGGTGGCAGTAGGTATCTGGCAGCTCCCCACTGTGGACTTGATGGAGACCAAGTCCTGCTTGGTCCCCAAAGACACTGGGGATACGTGAGTCCTGCCCAGAGACTGCGTGTGCTGACCTTGAAGACGTAGGACAGTCATGGCCTGCCAGCCTAGTCCTGGTGGTGCTGTAAACTTGGTGGACACAGGAGCCAGCCCAGTGTGGACCACTGTGGAGTAAGAGCAGCTGCTGGCTAGATGGGCATGTGCTTGGGGTCTCTTCCGGCCACATTCACAGTGATTTGGGGCCAGTTAAAATCGAAGTGTGTTGCAGTTTTCAAGTCTGTGAAATGAAGTTGTTGTTACTATTATTATTATTATCATTATCATCATCATCATCATCCTCCTCATCGTCTGCCTTGCTGGGTTTTATATGAGGTTTGAGAAAATACGGACGAGGCCAGAATCTGGCATTCCTAAGAGATGGCTGCTAATTTTTTATCTTTCTTTTCACTGTTGCCTTGGCCAGCTGTGCCATCCAGACAGACAGGCTTAGTTCGAGTGCCAGATCATGTAATGAGTGCCAGGTCGTACAAGTAGTGAGAAATAGTGATCCAGGAACGGGCATCGTCCAGTAGCCACAAGGTGGGGACTGCCCCGGCAGTCCTGCCTTGCGCTCGCACCAGCAAAGCCAGCCAAGCCCAGGCTGCCGACCCGGCGTCTCCTGGCTCACTGGCTGCTGCCTCTGTCCTTAGGGCTTCACAAAGATCAATGCCTTCAACTGGGCCAAGGTGCGCAAGCTGAGCTTCAAGAGGAAGCGCTTTCTCGTCAAGCTCCGCCCCGATGCCAATGTAAGTGACTGGGGGAGGGGTGCCCGCTGGATCATGGGAGGAGTGTGCCCTGCTAGCGGGTGACGTCTGCGCTCAGGAGGCCCACCTGAAGCTGGCCAGCTCCCAGCCCGGTGCTGTTGTGAAAAGGCACCCAGGAGTGTCTACAGGGACAGCTGTATCCAAGGGCTCAGTGACACCGCAGCTGTCATGCGTGGTAGACACTGAGAGGGTGAAGAGCACGCGCAGCTGTGTGCCTGGGGAGAGGGTCATTGCCCTGTAGGCAGCCCCGGCCCCCAGCAGATCACCCGAGCTGTGCTGTTGCTGGTGTGTCTGACCCTTGGCCCAAACTGGTGACCCCACTCAGCTTCCTGTCATATTCCAAGCGTGCACCTGTCCACCTGACGTGCCAGCGTCTGCACCCCACAGCTCCTAGGGAGCTCCTCCCTGTGGCTGGCCAACCAGGGTCTCCACTTGCTGCAGAACCCCTAAGAGCATCAGTGCTGTCCTCACCAGGGGGAGGGGCGGGGCAGCAGCCTGTGCACCTGCCGGCAGTGGCCATTAGGAGGTGCATGGCAGCTGTGTTCCCCCGTGCCTGCCCCAGCCAGTACTCAGCCCTCTTCCGCAGGGAAATAAAAGTTGGCAGGTGGTAGTCCCAGGGGGACTGGGAAGCAGACACCCATGATAGTGATTTCTAAAAGATAGATTTTGAGTTCCAAAAAACCTAACTTACAAATGAAGAATTACAGCACAACTTTGTTTGCCAAGTTGGGGCTGCCCAGGACCGTGAGTTTCCCCAAAATAGAGCTGCTGGGAACACACAGGGCTGCGGTAGACTTGTTTGTCTAATCTGGCCACTAAAACTGGGAGTGCTGAGTGTGGGAGCAGAAAATCGCCATATCCCCTTTCCAGCGTCCAAGGCCTGCTCAGCGCCAGGAAAGCAGTTTCATTTCCTGTCGAGGGAGCTGGAGGGGCCTCCTGGCCACCTGGGCCCTGGGCTCTTTCATCAGGAGACGACTTAAGACGAAAGGGAACCCCGCAGGGAAGGAAGCAGACAGGTGAACTGTGTCCAGTGACTTACGGAGGCCCACAATGAGTGTTAACTCTGGGAATTTGCCTCCGATGGGAAGTGCAAGCCCAGGAAAAACCCTTGCTTATGAATTCTGTCAAAGAAACCGTGTCACTTCCGCCAGCTCTGTCCTGCCGTGTTCTGTTAGAGCCTCAAAGGAGTGTTGCCGGGAAGGAAAATACTGACGGGGGTCGACATCTTGTCCTTAGGAACGAGTGTATTTCGCTAGGTCTTGGAGTTTAATGTCTCGTTATAATAGAACGCGCAGTTGAGGTCGCGTTGGAGAAGCATCTTCCGTGCCCCTCTGACATTCTCACAGAGGTCTGTGAGCAACGGGCCAGCCCCGAGCTGTGTCTCATCCTTGCAGAGCTCCTACCAGGACACCTTGGAATTCCTGATGGCCAGTCGGGATTTCTGCAAGTCCTTCTGGAAGATCTGCGTGGAACACCACGCCTTCTTCAGACTCTTTGAGGAGCCCAAACCAAAGCCAAAGGCTGTGCTGTTCAGCCGCGGGTCGTCGTTTCGGTTCAGGTGAGACGGGCGCTTCCCGCCTGGGTGTTGGCCCTGTGGGTCTTGTTCCCGAGCTGCTGCTCGCCCTGCTGCCCGTCACGGCTGCGGTGCTGCCCAGCAAGTGCGTGAGGTGAGTGCTTGTGGTCTCCAGGAGCCGTGGCTGATTTGGCATTCCTTGGGGTCCCAGCGGCCTGCTGGTGTCACCTGTTGGACGCTGTTGAATGTTTGAGAGCAACTGGGCAGTTCCGCCGGCCACAGCAGCCCCTAGCACACCTGTCTAATTCAGAAAGCTCTGCCTTTCCCCATGGAAGCATCTGATCATCACTTGGTTTCGCTTCACAGAATGATACGTAGTGGTGCCCATCGCTGGTCCACTTTTCCATTCATTTCTTCGACAAATATTCGACTGTCTACTGTGTGTCCAATACCATCCCAGCTGGTGAGGGGCTAACGGTGAACCAAATCACCGTACATGCCTTCAGGAATGGGCAGACTCGTGGAATGGCTGATTGATAACTAAACCCGCAAGTATTAAGTGGGTTCAGTTACTAACTGCTTTTTTTCTGTATTTACAAGAGTACTTCAACACCTGCATGGAAAAACAAAACTGAAAGATCATTTTGGTCCAAAAATTTTTGAAATCCATGCAGTTTTTTCATAATATGCATTTTCCATGAATTTGTCAAAGACTGCACTTACAGGGAAAATGTCAGGAGACCGAATGGACAGGAACCCCCGGCTGTCTTAGCCTTTATTCCCAGCTGCCACAGAAGGGGGTGAGGGTCGCACGCTCGGGTTCTGTGTTTAAATGAGGTTGCCTCTCTGTCTTTTCCCCTTGTCTTTCCTGGTGTTTGTTCTAGCGGCCGGACCCAGAAGCAGGTGCTCGACTATGTCAAAGAAGGAGGCCACAAGAAAGTCCAGTTTGAGAGGTAAGGGCAGCTTCGAGACGAGCTCCTGTTTGAGAACACGCATGCTTGTCAGGTAACAGCATCTTGCCGCCAGCTGTTTCTCCACGAAGGCCCTGGGTCACCTGAGCCATGAATTCCTATCTCACTGTCGACCTCAGCAGGTTTATGTTAGAATTATCTAAAGGCAGAGTGACAAAGAGGGAGATTTTCCGTCTGCTGGTCACTTTCCAGATGCCTGCAGTAGGCACCACTGGGTCAGGCGAAGCCAGGAGCCAGGAACTGTATCCAGGTCTGTCCTGTGGGTGGCAGGAGCCCAGGTAACTTGGGCCATCACCTGCTGCTTCCCAGGGCGAACAGGAGCAGGAAGCTGGATAAGAAGTGAGGTGGCACTGGATCCCGGGCACTGTGACACGGGATGCAGGTGTCCCGAGCGGCAGCTTAACCTGCTGTGCCATAACACCCGCCCAATTCTGTAAACTTTTAATTAAGTAAAGTGTGGATGAGATGAAGCGGGATATATCACTATTACTATTATTGCTGTTTTTGCAAAGGCTTGCGGCTCTTAGCCCTTCCCAAGGGCTTGGCACACCTTAGCCCATGGAGTCAACTCCAGATCAGCTCTGGGAGCTCAGTGTCCCTTGATTTCCTTGGTGAAGGTGGAGACCCCGAATCTCTACGAGGCGAAGGAGGCAGCCCAGGGGTCTCAGCTGTGCGTGCCCTGGCTGGGTGGCGTCAGAGCCTCGTGCGCCTTGGCACAGCTGTGCCGCCTGCAGGGAACTCAAGTGGGACGAGGGCATAAGAAGTAACATGATGAACCACAGCGCTATTTAGTGCGTTTGGGTTTTTTAATTTTTTTTTTTTTTTTTTTTTTTTTTTTTTTTTTTGACAGGCAGAGTGGACAGTGAGAGAGAGAGACAGAGAGAAAGGTCTTCCTTTGCCGTTGGTTCACCCTCCAATGGCCGCCGCGGCCGGCGCGTTGCGGCCGGCGCACCGCGCTGATCCGATGGCAGGAGCCAGGAGCCAGGTGCTTTTCCTGGTCTCCCATGGGGTGCAGGGCCCAAGCACTTGGGCCATCCTCCACTGCACTCCCTGGCCACAGCAGAGGGCTGGCCTGGAAGAGGGGCAACCGGGACAGAATCCGGCGCCCCGACCGTGGACTAGAACCCCAGTGTGCCGGCGCCGCTAGGCAGAGGATTAGCCTAGTGAGCCGCGGCGCCGGCTTGGGTTTTTTATAACTTTTTTTTTTCCACTTCGCTTTCACGCATTTACAGATTATGATAAAGTACAGAGAAGACAGCTGAGGTGAGCACGCCGAACTGACGAACCAAATCCAAAACATCCTCACATCAAACATTTTAGATTAGGGATACTCAACTGGTAAAGCTCATGTAGATTCCCACATCAAAGAAACAAACAAAAATCCCCTGTCTGAAGCCCTCTGGTCCCAGGCATTTCCGGAAAAGGGGCCTCCGCCTGCACTTAGAATTAAGGGCTGTTGGCCGGTGCCGTGGCTCACTAGGCTAATCCTCCACCTTGCGGCACCAGCACACCGGGTTCTAGTCCCGGTCGGGGCTCCGTTGCTCCTCTTCCAGTCCAGCTCTCTGCTGTGGCCAGGGAGTGCAGTAGAGGATGGCCCAAGTACTTGGGCCCTGCACCCCATGGGAGACCAGGAGAAGCACCTGGCTCCTGCCATAGGATCGGCGCAGTGCGCCAGCCGCAGAGCACCGGCCGCGGCGGCCACTGGAGGGTGAACCAATGGCAAAAAGGAAGACCTTTCTCTCACTCTCTCACTCTCTCACTCTCCACTCTGCCTGTCAAAAAAATTTAAAAGAATTAAGGGCTGTGAACTGCTTTGACATGTCTGCTCCGAGGACTGCTTGCTCAGCTCTTGTTCCAGATGTGCCCCAACCCTCCTGGACCAACAGCTGGAGTCACTCCCCTCCTCCCCCCGCAGGGGCAGCCGCCTGGTTTATGCCCCTTCTCCTATCCGTATTTCTGCCTCCAAAGCGGATAGGAGGCTCGCTCGGGGCGTGAGCTTTCGCACCGGTAGGAGGATTGTCTTCCTGTGCAGGAATCTGCGCCTTGCTTTTCATCCCTCCCCTGCTCCTGAGATGAGCTGTAAGTGCCTTGCTGTGGTTCTAGAAAGAGTTTACACTGTTTTTGATCTCATTCCCTCAGGAGAGACTCGTAGGATGTTTCAGGGTTTTGTTTTGCTTGTGCTGAGACAAATGGGCCACTGGTGTGTAAGTCCCCTGGTGCGAGTTGGGGGCTTCCAAGCCCCGTGTCCAGAAATGTAATCTTGGGCAGGATTTCTTTCCTTTCCCTCCCTCCCTCCCTTCTTTTTTTTTTTTTTTTTTTTTTTTGTTTGTTTGTTTGTTTGTTTTGACATGCATGCACCTCTGAAACAATAAACCTCATAATTTTCTTGGATAATTCACAATTAATGTTTTGAGAACCTGGGCCAGCATTGTGGCACAGTGGGTTAAGCTGCCTCCTGCAACACTGGCATCCCATACAGCTGCTGTTTCGAGCCCCAGCTGCTCCATTTCCAATCCAGCTCCCTGCTAATGTGCCTGGGGAAGCAGTGGAAGAGGGCCCAGCACTTGGGCACCCGCACCTACGTGGGAGACCCAGATGGAGTTCCAGGCTCCTGGCTTCAGGCTGGCCCAGCCCTGAATGGCTGTTGTGGCCATTTGGGGAGGGAACCAGCAGATGGAAGACCTTGTTCTTGTGTTCCCTCTCCCTCTCTCTGTAACTCTGCCTTTCAAATAAATAAGTCTTTAAAAATAAAATATTTTGAGGCCCAAATAAAAAACAGCGACCTCGTGTCTCCCGTCTGGTTGCCAGTGTGGATGCTCCAGGGTTTTCCGTGTTGATTGGAGTGTTGCGAGGAAATCCCGTACGCTGGGATTTCTCCTCTCTGCACTCTGTGGCTGTCTCCGACACCCGTTCGTTGGAGACGAGGGTGAGGCGGACTGAAGAAGGGAAGAGACAAGGTTGAGCCCCTTCCTTCCCCTGCAGCGTCTGTGTGCACTCTCAGAGCCGGACAGTCCCGGAGCCGTAGCAAGCACATTGAGAGAGTGATCCAGTGGTGGTAGTTGCCTCCATTACGGAACTGATCCAGAAAATAATTACCCAGAATACAGTGGTCGATGTTATATCATTAGGCCATGGCTTGCGCCTGGCCAGCCTCCTCCCTCCCCCCAAGACTTTCCCCGTCGCTAGCAAGCCCTGTGCCATTGCTGGTCCTCCATCAGCAGCCCCACGGTGGCAAGTGCTGAGAACTTCCTCAAGATTTCAGTACCATGGGGACCACGCACGGGTGACCGAGTCTGCTTCCCGCTCGTACTCATGAAAGCCACTCTGGATGTTTTCTGCAAGGAGGAAGGACCTGGCGCTTCAGACCAGGGAGCTTTGGTTTCACTTAAAAACACACTCACAAAAACTCAGCTGGGCGCCAGCGCTGTGGCGCAGCTGCTCAGACCACTGCCTGCAGCGCCATCATCCCATATGAGTGGGCCCTGTTTGAGTCCCAGCTGCTCCCCTTCCAATCTAGCTCCCTGCCAGCGCACCTGGGAAAGCTGCAGCGGCCGGGCCCCTCCACCCACATGGAAGACCCGGATGGAGTTCCAGGTGCCTGGCTTTGGCATGGCCCAGGCCAGCTGTTGCAGCCATTTGGGGAGTGAGCCAGCAGATGGAAGATCCCTCCCTCTGCACCCCTCATAACTCTGCCTTTCAAATAAATAAATTTAAAAGAAAAGGAAAAAAAAAAAAAAACCAACCCCTCCCCTAGTCTCATGCTGTCGTGTGTGATTTCTTCCAGAAAGCACAGCAAGATTCATTCCATCAGGAGCCTCGCCACGCAGCCTTCAGAAACTGACTCAGAGGTGCCAAAGCAGGTGCGTCCCGAGTGTGCCCTAGAACCCCGTTACGTTCCACACTTCCTCCTCCGAGCACTTGCCCATTCTACGTGGTTTGTCCTGGGGTTTCTTACAGGTGAGAGTCTGCCTGGGTCTGTGCCCTGGCACCAGCCAGAGACTCGAAGCCTTGGGCCTCCAGCCTGGGGGCAGCAGGCCCCGTGGTACAGCCTGTTTACCCCAGAGCGTCTGTGTGCTGAGCCACAGCGGCGGTGGCCCTGGTGGCCAGAACTCCGCGCTGGGGGCCGGCCCACCGCCGCGAGCCAGCAGAGCTGGCTTGGGTGAAGAGGTGGGGACCCTTTTGTCAGCTCCTGCCTAGGCCTGGGGTCTCAGCTGCTGGCAGGTGTCCCACGGCTGTGCTCCAGGGCAGCCGAACAGGAGCCGGGCTGTTGTCACTCTTGCCTCTGCCTTCTTAAGAGGCGCAAACAGAGGTGGTTGTCATTTTTCTAAGGTCATGCCAAGGGGTCTCCTGGAGTCCACGATGGGTATTCCTTGTGTCCCTGCGAGCCCTTCCTTGGGAGTCCCGCTGTGGGCTGGAAGGGCCATCTTGTTCCATAGAAACCCAGTATGAGACGATAAGCCCCGAAGGAACCTTCTGGAACATGACAGAAGCCCTCTGATGAGTGCCTACCTGTGGTTCTAACCCGGGGTCCAGCAGCTGGCTCAGCTACTGCAAGCGTCAGGACCCACCGCGAGACTAGATGCTGCCGCCTCTCTGCTCCTCAGCCCTGGTGTAATGCCCCTTTCTCTCCATCCCTTGCCCACCCCACCCCCAGTCTCCGCAGAGCGCCAGCCTGACCTTCGGAGAAGGCGCCGACTCCCCCCGGGGCCAGAGCCGCCAGCAAGGGAAGGAACTGAAGGTCGCCGCCCCCTCCGCCGCCGCCCCCGCCCCCACGGAGGATCCACGGCCACAGCCGGGGCCGCAGGCGAGCCCCGCTCTGCAGAGGAGCCCTGCGGGTAACAGGCAGGCGGACGGAGCCAGCCCGGCGCCGCCGGAGGAAGAGGAGGAGGTCCTTAAGGATAGCACCCAGCAGAGTAAAGCCCAGCCCCCGCAGCCTTGCACAGGTCCAGCATTCCGGGCTGCGCGCGGCAGCAGTACTTCCATTCCTTTCATTGACTGCAGTGACGTAGATAGCGAGTACGACTTGCTCCGGGAGCAAGTGTCCCGCTCACGGTCCCAAACAAATGACAATTATGAGGGTGATGTGACCAGCGGGGTCTATCTGCTCTCCAGGGATGAGAGGCAGGGCGAGGCTAGGCGCAGGGCTTCCGCTCACTCTGCCCTGTCTTCCCGGCCCCCTTCTGGAGAATTCCTTGACTCCGCAGACATAACCTTTGACATGAGCGGGAGCGCTGGGCTCCCGAGGCATAGCTCCCTGATAGATGAAATGTTCAGGAGCTCAGGCGCTCACAGCCCCCTGGCCGCCCCCTTGTCTCCCAGCAGCAGTAGTTCAAGTCCAAACATGAGCTGGGACAGGACCGGGTCCCAAGGCTATGTTTCGGAAAACGGACATGACCAAAGAGAAGTGGTGGGAGAAGACACTCTCCCAGGCCAGGCTCCTTGTTACGAAGGCTCTTCCCCCATCTTGCAAAGGCCCTACCTACGGACCCTTCCCAGTCGGTACAATAAATCAGAGACAGATCCGCTCATCCTTAGCCAGCTAGCGGCGATGCCAGAGGCCGTGGGTAGCTTTGATGTCCACGATAAGGGTGGGCAGGCCAGAACGGCTGCCCCCAAAGGGGGGAAGCTGGCCAACGGCATGGAAGGCCAGCTGGCGCCCCTGCAGGTGACCGAGGGCTCCACCAGCAGTGGGACTGAATCCAGTGATTCGGACTCCGAAATGGTGAGCCCTTCGCACCAGCCCCTCACCGTGGGCAACCCCGCGGTCCTGCGTTCCCCCGCCATGCTGCTGAGAAGTCAGGTGTCCCTGGGTGGCCCACGTTTGAGTGGAGAGACGGAGGAGGAGGAGGAGTGAGGAGGTCGCTGTTAGGGACCTGGGGTCCTAGGAGCCCAGGGTCGCGATGGAGGTGATCTCCGATGACTCCTTAATTTGTAGCCAGCATTTGATAGCGGGAGTTTTGGGCAGGCACGTGGCGGAATGGAATCTGCCTGGCTCCTAAAACCTTTAAGAACAACAGCCTTTCAAACAAGTGGCTTCCTGTCCGCGAAGGATGTATAGGTTAGCAGCAAGTCCTGATGATGAGTGATGACCTGGAGCCTGGCTGGCTGGCTGAAGTCTAGGAAGAAACCCTCTCTGACGAATCTGCTGATGTTGATAGTGATTGATAGTTTCCTGTGCATGTTCAGCTGTGGATGCAGCTCACCCTTCTGGGGTTGAGTTTGGGGACTGGGGTATCGTTGAGATCACAGGAGAGGCGTTGTCTTCCTTGTCCCCTGCTCTTCCAAAGGAGGAGTGCCTCTCTGTGCCTCATCAACTGAGGAACTGACAAAATTCAAGGCCAAGTGCGAGTTGGTTGCTAGCTTAGATGGTGTTGGTGAAATCTTCGTCAAGGATAGCAGCTGTCTTAAAGGGAACGCGCTGGGGTTCTTTGTTTTCCAGGCCTCCATTGAAATGCTCTAAAGGTCGGTCAGACCCTTGTGAATTGTGATTTGCTCGACATTGCCTGTTTGCTCCGGGATTGTAGTAGGGGAACAGATTGTTGGGTTTTGAGAAATCCTCTTGCTGCCTCTCAGAACCTGTTGGTAAATCACAGAAATGCCGTTGCGTGGTGATGAAGGGAAGAGCCGTGCCGCAGACAGGCTCTGTTGTCACCAGCAGGTTGGCCCATGAGCTCAGACCTCCCTGCCTTTGAGTCATGTCCAGCTCGGAGGAGGAGCGCCTCCCAGGGGCGTTGGCCACAGTCGGTGTTTGCGCACGTTCTGGCCAAGAGCGTTCTCTGTCCAGAGCAATGATGCTTGAATGATTCCCTGAGCAGGAATACAGCAGGGGGGAAGGACAACAGGTTTGACTTCTGTTTAAGTCTTGCCCTTCTGTCGGTCGCCTTTACCCAGCATTCCTGCCTGCTGTCATCTTGCGTGGTGTTTCTGTCTTGGCTGCGTATTAAAATCACCTGAGATTTCAAAAATGAAGCCTAGAGATTCTTCTCTCATGGGTCTGGGGTCCAGCTCGCCCCTCCCCCCAGCCTGCTCTGCCAGCCAGCCAGGTCACTTCTCAACCAGACCTCACTGCCTTCTGGAATCTGATGGAATACATAGAAAGGGGTAGCTAAATCGGGGGCTTGCATGTGGAGTCAGTGCAGCGTTGCACATGAAATATTTCTTCTTGATGCCTATCATTTGTAATGTTCAGTCTTTGGTACTTTTTTAAAAGATAAGTTGTAGAATAAAATTTTTAACGATAGTAAATCCTTGATGTCCTGCCAGGCCAGTGGCCTCACTCTGCTCATCCTGTGACTTGATGGCCAGGGAAGAGCCAGGGCTGCTAGGCAGCGGAACAGAAGTCAGCAGCAGGTGCATCACAGGTGGGGGCGTCGACCCACCTTGTGGTCCACGGATAATTACCTGCCCGTGTGAATGTCGAGTAGTTGATTTTAACGATTCTGAAGACTTACTCCATTTTTATATAAACTTTTCAATTTTCCTAATCATTTGATTCAGTGCATGATGGGTGAATCAAATTGATTAATGGATAGTCTGAAAGTTGCTCCTTGAATTAGTCTGTTCATGTCTTGCTTTAGATTGATATATGCAGCAGAATTTTAACAGTAGAGGTCCTCTAAGCAAATCTTCGTTTGATGGATGTGAAACCTTGTTCTGATCAAGTGACCTCACATAGTTCTACCGCCACTGCATGACAAAGCTGAAACTGTAACTCAGCTGCCGGAGTTCAGCTTCTCCTTCTGTGTGACATGTTGGTACAGTCGAACCTTGCTAAGTCAGTATGTTAATTTTGGACAGTCTTGTATGGGTTGATAATTCAAATCTAATGTGAAGATTAGGGGTCCTGTAGATTCAGTAGGTTGGGAAGATCTACTACTTTTTATATTGTGGGGATTTTACAGTTACAACTTGTTTGTTGCGTATTCTATTTGGAACTTAGAAAACGGGAGTTACGCAGAGTCAAGTTTGGAGTTCTGTGGTTTCTCTGTGAAGGTGGTTTGTGCCAGTGAATTTGCCTTTTACCTCTAATCATACCGCAGTCTAATAATGGAATTTGAATGAACAATATTGTGTTAACTTATGCAGCCTGTGTGAATCATTAAATGTGCCACTCCAAAGCAAAACATAATCCAGTCATTGTTTTGTTTTGCTTTTCCTGCAAGGTGATTTTATCTCAAGTGGTTTAAAAGCTCTTAGTTGATCAGCGATGGAGTGATCGGTTCTGTGTGGACAAAGTTCTACGCTTGGGGAGTCGTGCGTTGAGTTTCCCTTCTCAGCAGCTCAGTTTCTGCTTGTTGGCCTGTGTGTGAAAGCAGCGATCCTGGCATCATGAATGGTTTGTAGGGGAGCTTGTCCTATACTCACAGCCTGGAACTCTGGGTGGGAAAGAGAATATAGGTGTCCTGTGAGCCTGGTGGAACAAATTTGCTCAAAGCACGTGGTCTCCCTTTGTCACTGTGCGGTGCTCAGGAAAAGCCAGCAGCCTCTGCCATTGCACCTGCAGGCTGCGACTTGGGGGAGTCCCCGGCCCCCAAGTCTTTACCTGGCTTGCAGAGGTCCCCCCAGTGCCTTAAGAAGGGCCCACATGCCCAGGACTAAGAGCAGAGGAAGCTCAGATGGGGTTGGCTAGGTAGCAGAGATTAGAGGCTTGAGAATTCACTCCCATTTCCAGAAGGGTTTCCTAAGACCTGCCAATAGGGCTTCCCAGACAATAGCTGGTGCGTGGGTCTTTAGACCCTGGCCGTTCTGTGCTGCCCTGCGAAATGATATCTCAAGGCCACGGGTGGAAGACAAACCCTAAACAGAAACCCAAGCCTACAGCCGCTCTCGGCTACTCCCGTGAAGCCTTGCGTTAATATCTCTTGTTGGATATTATTTCGAAATGCGTAAGGCCTTTTTGTGGTTGCTTTTGCTGTTGCTTGTTAAGGGCAAAATAAAAATGCAAGAAATTCTTTCAGCGTGAAGAAATGCATTCTAATGAGTTCCAGAACTGAACATGAATTGCCTCAGCTCCTCTAGCAGCCATCTGTGTGCCATTGACAATATTTTATTAGACAGGCATTTAATTAGAGGAAGTCTGGGAGCCAGCCCCTTCCCCACATGTGTGATTCATTTTGGGGAATTTCTCACAGATTCAGCTCCCCAGATTGGGCTGCCGCGTGGCCCGCACTTAAAATGTGAATAATTCTGATTCCATTCTTAAGGCCGTCTTTGAAGAATCAAAAGCAATCAGTGCTTAAAGAGCAAGGCCTCCGAACTGAAAATGCCCCATGAAGCTCTCGAAGTTTCCACCGAGTGTGCAGAATGAATCCAGCGTGTTCCGAGTGCGCATGGCGCATTAGACCTGGGACCTTTTGGATTGTGTTGTGAAGCAACCTCTAAAGGGGGAAGCAATTATTATTATTATTTTTTTTTTTTTTTTTTGACAGGCAGCGTTAGACAGAGAGAGAGGCAGAGAGAAAGGTCTTCCTTCCAAATGGCCGCTACGGCCGGCGCGCTGCGCCGATGTGAAGCCAGGAGCCAGGTGCCTCCTCCTGGTCTCCCATGTGGGTGCAGGACCCAAGCACTTGGGCCCTCAAAGGAGGAAGCAATTTAAACGTTGATAAAATGGTTGCCAGTGTGCACATAGATTCCCCTTTCCTGTCTATCATCAGTGAGCTCATGTTTTTACAGTTTTTTTTTTATACATATGTATACTTAAAACAGAATGATGTATTGCAACCCAGAATGGGTTTGGTGAGCAATAGCCCTGAGTAGGTACGTAGGTGAAGAAATTCCTTCAGCGTGAAGAAATGCATCCTAATGAGTTGCTTAGCCCAAAACTAAGAAACCTGGCACGCCCTTAGCCAGCAGGTTAAAATGATTGATTGGCTTCTGTCTCCATCACTTCACTTGGCCTGGCTTTTATTCCAAGGAGCCGGAAGTTTAAGAGCTGTTCGAGTTG